ACCCTGTAGGTTGGTAACTGGCGACGGCGTTCAAACTATCAGTTTGACAGCTCTTAGGTTGCAACCCGGGTGAGGGTTTGCTTCAAACTAAAACGGCATTAGAAAAAATGCTCTGAGACTGACTTATGTCAAAAATGGATTCCGTCACGTGTAAAATTATGTCGTTTTCGTTTTTGCGGTGCTACACTGCCGTACACCGAAATAATTTAGGGTGTAGATATAGGATGCACCATTGGTTACAAACAAATGATGTTGAGCTCGCGCTTATTCCTGCTTACACTAGCGTTAGCGTTGTTATGATATACTTCGTAGATTGGATACTAGTGACACTCACGTCTCTTCTGAAATTCTCAGTGAGACTACTTTCAGGAATAATGCTGAGGAGTAAACATTGGTTCCAATCTAAACAAGAGTAATAGAAGCATGACTGTCGGTATTCCCGGCCACGCCCATCTTTACCACAACTAGGGATAGGGTAGGAAATGTTGATGTAGTTCTTACTTAACGAGAGGCCACCGACTTAGCGACACCCTCATAAGTGCTACGGAGTTGGAGGGTTGGGTAGGGTATTCGGTTAGGATTCACCTCAAGTTGGCGATGCAACCAAAAGTATGTATTGTTTATTTGTTGTTTATTTAATCTCTCGATAGCCGGCTATCGAAAGAACATATTCATTTTGTTTAGTGATCATCAATTTTAAGAGTCATGACGGAGAGCTTGGGATTAAACCCATGATTTTCTGCTCAGTAAGCAAAAACGATCCCTCCAGGGTCATCGAGCATCTCAGAACCATAACGCTTCGCGACAATACAGGACTACGTTTTCGCTTGATATGCAAATAGTTTCCGAGGTTAATGTTCAATATCAAATATACAAATGATGGTGGCGATTTATTGTGCTGTGAAAGAGCTTTTGATTAAATTCATGATTTTCTGCTCAGTAAGCAAAATCGATCCTTCCCGGGTCATTGAGCATCTCATAATCCACAGCGCTTCGCGTCAAAGTACGAATATATGGATGAACTATCTATTATTTAATAACTATTATTTACGATGATTACATGAAAGAAATAAAATATAAACTACAAACAAAACGTACTAAAATCTCAAAAAGATATTCTCACAAATATATTTCACGCAACCAGGAATCTCAAAACCATTAGACGCTATAATGATACTCTGCACTTGTTAGACACAAGAAGAGGCCAAAAAGCAAGCGTCCGTCACACAAAACCCGCCAAATCCACTTGCAGTCACAATCAACGATTCTACGAATCGCGAGCGCTTACGGATCATAAAACCGCTGACTGCGACACTCTGAAAGCGAAATTGATAGGCTCTATGCAGACTGTGTTCTTATTACATTTATTTGATGATAAAAATAAAATATGTTAAAATTGTTCGTTGCATTACGTGTGACCGTTATTTTCAGTTTACTGACTTTTTCAGCTGTTTGAAAACCCAGTAAAAAATTACTGACCCCAGTAAAATAATCTCTGTGTGTACCAAGCATATTGCGTATAATTTATTGTGTATAGCGTATCATTGAGCAAGATCGCAACATAACGTGGAAAATTCCGCAAAACAATAAAATGCTTTGATTTGTTTTGTTTTTTTCTATCGTAAGCTACAGATTTATTAAACATTTTATTTTCTCTTTCGATAACAAAGAACCAACCAGCGCTGTCATGTTTTATGCATTCTAGTCACTCTCGTTTTTCCACACCGTGAGATGGGTCTCGACTTCCCTTAGCAAATCTTGCATTTTTGCACTCCGTTCAACATTGCTGTCCAATATGCAGAAACTTTCGACCTCGGATAGTTTATTTAGTTTTAACTCGATTTCTGCCGCACCAGGTGGTGGATGAAAATATCAACCATATTCACTTTAGAGGGGTCCAGGAATAAATCTGTAGTTTACGAGAGAAAAAAACAAAACAATTAAAAGCGTTTTATTGTTTTGAGGAATTTTCCACGTTATGTTGCGATCTTGCTCAGTGATACGCTATACACAATAAATTATACGCAATATTCTTGGTAAGCCTTGTGTATGGAAAACATGCTTTTTTAAACTAGTTCATTTATTTGGAAGGCTCAATCACGTTAGCTTTACGGAGCCGATAGTTCATTGGTCTTTGTTTGTAACAACATTCACTTAATTCTTTGTCTAGTAGGAGTTGGACCGAATACTCGCGGCTTACTCGAGGTAAGAGAGGTACATTGTCGAAGGATAAGATCAGAGGAGGAGCTTGGGGGTAAGGTTTCGTTGTCTCATCAGAGCGTTGTCACCAGTATGAACGGTAGTGCGGTTCTAGTTTCGTCTGGAGTTCGATCGGCTATGGTGACCATGGAAAACATGTTGCCGCCATATTGTATTCCAAAATAGCGTCTGGAATCTATATCTGGCCTCTACACGTCGTCCATTTTCGGAAATTCCCACATTGTAGTGTATTTGACAGTTTTTCTTAAAGTGATGGCCACCATCTTGGATATCAAAATGGCATCTGGCATCGATTTTCGGCCTCTACACGCCGTTTCCTTTCTGGAAATACTCATATTGTAGAGTATTTGACAGTTTTTCTTGACCCGATGGCCACCATCTTGGATCCCAAAATGTTGTCTGGCATCTATTTCCGGCCTCTAACGACGTCTCCTTCCAAAAATATCCACATTGTAGGGTATTTAGCAGTTTTTCTTGAACCTATGGTCGCCATTTTGGATTACAAAATGGCATCTAACATCGATTTCCGGTCTCTACACGTCATCTCCTATCCGAAAATACCCATGTTGTTGGGTATTTGACAGTTTTTCTTGAAACAATGGCAAGCATCTTGGATTCCAAAATGGCGTCTGACATCGATTTTCGGCCTCTACACGGCGTTCCCTATCCGGAAATACCCATATGGTAGGGTATTTGACAGTTTTTCTTGACACGATGGTCACCATCTTGGATTCCAAAATGGCGTCTGGCATCGATTTCTGGCCTCTACACGTCATCCCTCTCTGGAAATACCCGTATTATAGGGTATTTGACAGTTTTTCTTGACCCGATGGCCGCCATCTTGGATTCCAAAATGACGTCTGGCATCGATTTCCGGCCTCTACACGTCGTCCCCTTTCCAAAAATATCCATATTGTAGGGTATTTGACAGTTTTTCTTGAAACAATGGTCGCCATCTTGGATTCCAAAATGGCATCTGACATCGATTTCCGGCCTCTACACGTCATCCCTTTTCCGGTTCCTGTTCTAACATTGCACAGCAACATCTTATATGGACAAGTTTTGGATACATTACATATTAAGGAAGTGCATGTGTACACTAGCGCCGCGTAGTGTGAGAGTTCTGAAATAATATGACAATCATCCGAAAGGACTTAGTCACCTGAACAACTTTGCTGAAGACAGTAACCTTCTATATGGCCAGGTTTTCGAGATACAGTTTATACAGGAAATTTACTTGCACACTAGCGCCGCGTAGTGAGCGTGTTTTGAACTAATATGGCCACCATCCAAAAGGACTTGATCGCCTGCACAACTTTGCTGAAAACAGCAAATTTCTATATGGCCAGGCTCTCGAGGTACAGTTTATATAGGAATTGCACATGCACACTAGCGCTGCATAGTGAGAGAGTTCTGAACTAATATGGCCACCATCTGAAAGGACTTGGTCACCTGAACAACTTTGCTGAAGACAGTAACATTCTATATGGTCAGGATCATGAAATATTCTATGTTTGAAATATGATCCATATATTATAGCGCCCGTCATAAGTAACATAAAAGTGAAGCGCCTCTAGCGGCGTAGTTCCCAATTTAACCTGAATCCAATGGCACAGGCTGGTTGGTCTAACCCAGTACAGCAACTTTGTCGAAGACAGTATAGCTTTATGTATTGAAACAAATGAGATAATCCACTACAGCCCCCATTAGTGAAAATCCCATAAGCTGTGGGTATCCTTATTCGCGGATAGCCCGGCAATAAGGATCCGGCAATAAGAGATACCGGCAATAAGGAATCCGGCAATAAGGATTCCTGACTGTATTTGTAGTCACCTTGCTCTCAACGATTGCATTCAACCCACATAATTCAACCCCAAAACGCAAAGAAAAGAAATTCGTGGTCTCCGACAAAACGCTCCGCGATAAATAACTTTTTTTTTTCCCGATGACTCCGTTTCCTTTTTTCCTCAGCATGTCACGATTGTCAAATCATCAAACCTCATCAAGGAACAGAAGATTGTAGACATCCCACGGTATTGCAATATTGTGGGTTATAATGATGGAAAAGCTTCGAAAACATGAAGAAAATTTCGTTAAATGGGACCGACTTAGTGAAACCAGTTGTTGCACAAAATTGATTGGGAAGGGTGCAGAGAAAAGTTTTGCAAGACAAACATTCTATTATTAGTTGACTGTGGAAGTTTTCTAAGGAATTTGATAAATGGTTGCTTATTGAAGAGCATTTTGAAGGGCGTCTTTTTTACGAATGCATCCTCCAACTCTTAGCAAACCATTTGTCATTTTGAGTTTAGGTTGTTTGAATAATGTTCTAATAAACGAAGCACACAAATCAAAGCATATTTTGAACCATGAGTTGAACGTGTGCGTGTGTCGCATTTTCTGCGTGTCTAAAATGGCCTTTTGAGAACCTACGAAAAATCGACCTCAACTCCTTCCACCCCAAAAAGAGTAGAACAACATTTTCGTCAGCGACGTTCGTTGACACCAATATGTGATGGCGAAACAAAGGAAAAGCAACGAAAGCCCGATTAGAACATTACGCCAATTCAGGTCATCCAATCAGTGTTTCGCTGCGGTGCTGTTATATTTGATACCATGTTTGACACTCATAACGGAACCATAATTAATCTCCGGCAAGATAAACTGTTCTGCGAGCGTATAAAATCGCACATTTGACAGTGACATTGACTGTGCAGCAATTTGGCCTCATCACTCAAACTCTTTATTTTTATTCCCCCTTGCAGATGGCCGACGACGTCAGGGACTAGCGACGCAACCAGTATCCCTCCGAGAGGAAATAGGCGCCAAACGCCGGCAATTTTGCGCCGCGGCGCCATGCTATGGGTATGAACATGTTCAGCCGGAATGATGAACGCTCCAACAATGCATCAGCTGGACCGTCGTCGCGGTCACGGTTTGATTACTACTACAACACGACGTCATCACCGTCATCATCGGTGGAAAATCAAAGATACAACAATGACCAGACCAGCCTGTTTGGCGATCCGGTCCTGCCGGCCACCCGCCATACGGATCTGCTCGAGGGGGGCGATCTTTACCAGAATCTCAAGAACAACATCGAACTGTACCACTCAAAGCTGTACAACCAACAGGAGAAGCTGCGGCAGGCCGAACGGGACCAGATGTTCAACGAGTTTACCACCCAACGGGGCTCGTCCTCGGTCACGACCAGCAGTAGCGGGGCAAAACATTCGCTTGGCAGCAGTAAGATGATGGGCAACTTTGCCGAGGATCCGGTACGAAGGTTTCAGCGGACGCAATCTGCCAGCCTGGGAGGAATGGAAGCGATTGGGAACAGGTGAGTCGGATAAACTAGATCTTCAATATAGGTTGTACCGAAGAGCTTGTAGGACGAAAGGCCGAAATTTCAGACGTTCTTTACTTGGGTTCGAGACGTTCTTCCTTGGATTGGTACGCGTTTCTCGGAAGAGTCAGATATGATTCTGGACATTATTGGTAACATTAGTTATTCTGCCCAAATCTATAGAATTGGTTAAAACAGGTGTTTGTGCAACATCACCATCATTTTATTGATTCCAGACGAATTCGCAAATCGATTAATTTTCGTATTTTTTATTTGGCTGTGAACTTTCAGAAACGTTCCTCATTACCAAAAATGCCATTTTGCATCTAGATCACCATTTTAAATCGAGCCTTAATTTTAGAAAAAGGGCAAATAGAAAAATGTTAACTCTTCAGAAAAAACATTTTTCCAATCGGTTTTGTACCTTCGGTAATATTGTAGGGAACATCTGGAACTATTTGAAAAAGTAGAATGGTCTATGCCTAGGGACACGAACGGAAGCTTGACGTAGAACGGCTAGTGGACGGAACAAATGTGAAAAGCATTTAGTTCTTTTAATTGATCGATCTTGTATTATCTTAACTCTTTCCGTTTTTGAACTGTAGACGTACAAAATTTGTAGTATTTTTTTTTTTTCAAATAGAAAGTTGATGAAGAGAATCGATCAAAATCACTTGCACCCCTGCTTCCAAGTTTGGTTACAAGATTACAACTCTGGAGAGCATTTTGTGTGGTCGTTGGGGGCATGTGGTTCTGAATATGGACAAACAGGCACATATAAAATCTATTTCAACTCTTTACTGTAATAAGCTTGGTGATCCTAAAAATGGCCGTTTTGTTGCCAAAATCGGTGATGATTTCCGAAACCGTACAGAATGCGTCTGTCGCTTCAAAGCGTAGGTGACATTCATGGTCGCTTAGGCTTGACATGTTCAGTGTAGGTGACATCATCACGGATCTCATTTTCCAGGAACACCTTCAGCACACCTCGTAGATAAGACCGGAGATACGTTTGAAACCGCCACGGCAAACCAGACAACGAATGGTGGTTATCACGAAGAACCTTGCGATGACGTTTGACGCCTTCTTCACCTATTCCTCCTTTGCCACGACCAGTCATTGTTGCTTGTTGCATTGTTGTAGGTAGAAAAGTGGACTACCTATCCGAGCAAAGTTAGAGATCAAATTGAAATCAGAATTTGCTGTTATGATGTAACTTATTTTGAATACTCCATTTGATCTCATTTTGGTTGACTTAACTTATTTTGAATACTCCATTTGATCTAATTTTGGTTGACTTAACGGTGAGAGCAAAATTTTACACTGTTGAATCAAACGGAAAACTAATCCTGCTTTCAATGAAATCAATTTGATTACTGATTTTGAATTCATAATGTTAGACTGAATACGGGCCTGTCGTATGCTTCTCACGCTGAAAGACTTGAGTTCAAATGTCACCCGCACAAGTCACAAATGACCTAAAATGTGTTAAACAAAACAAATAAACAATAATCGTTAGTTCAACGACAGATGAACTTAAATCAAATTTTAAACAAGAAATTAACAGCAGAACTTCAAGTTAAGTTGCTTTGATTTAAAAAGTCTTGACTGCATCATGAAAGCACAATATGATATCAGACTTCTGTCGCGACAATTGAAATCGAAATGAGTTTTCATTATGATAGGAACTGCAAACTTTAACATCGATTTGCATTCATTTTGTTAACCGACTTTGCTCGGGTAACCTGCCACCACCTTCCTACTACTGCTATTGCTGCTTCTGCTGCCTGCTCACCACGCCGTCCGAAGCGAAAATGAGTTGAAGCTTTTTTTTTACTTCAAATGATCTTTATTTCTTGTATTTGTGTGGTTTACATGTATTACTTATCAAGTGACACAGATGCGTATGAGTTGAGGCTAGACAGCAGCGCACTTTTATATCTTTTCAGGTTAAAGCAGAATGATGTGAAACCAAGTGGTACTCGATTATTTCGACTGGGTTTGGGAAGAACAGTTATTTTATGAAAACATTTATCCCGGCTAAAACTTTTTTAAATAGTTTCTTGTTGAAAATCATCAGTCAGAAGCATCGCATTATGCGTCGCATGAAACATGATGCGTAGAAATATTTCTGATCGATTGGTGATAAAATTATTGAAATTGGTCCAGGGGTAGCTGAGTGTCAATGCAACGATATTGACACATGACTTCTTCTTCGTGACAAAAGTAATTTGTGAACCTCTATCGAATTGCACTGGCCTTATTAGAGTCCATTAATAGGGTGAAGTTCGCAGAAGTTTTTTTTTTGCTGTTTGTAGAATTTTCCTGAAGTTTGCAGAACTTTCTTGAAACTTGCAGAACGTGCTTGAAGCTCGCAAAATTTCCGATACATTCACAGAACTGCCCAGAAGTTCGCAGAAGTTTCCAAAAGTTCGAAAACAAAATCATGACGTTTGCAGAATTTTCCTGAAGTACAGTAATCCGGAGAAAAAATAATCTCTTGATAATGTAAATACAGAAATAAATTTCTACATTAAGCGAAATTGGCAAACTAGAGGTGTCTACCGTTCTGAATGATGACTCGATCCGCTGGCTTATCAATGGTATCACTCAGGCTATACTGGACATAATTGTGAAGATGGATGTCCTCATTGAATTAAGTAGTGTAGTAGTCCATAGGTTGGTTGGAGGATCTTCTTGTCCCAATGCGCTGAAATGCAGTTTTCATTTACTTTTCTATCCAGCTTTCCATGCTCGGTAATAAAGGCCTGTTTGTATGAATAAATGTATCTTTCACTGTGATTTTTTACCTGGAGAGCGTATGTTGTTCCATTTTCTTCTGTTCCTGGGAGAGGGAAAGGGAGGGGTCAAAATCCGAACATCCAGATAGTGTCAAAAAGCACAGTGAAGGATACATTTATGGAAAGCTGGATTCAAATAGCTTCAGTTTTCTTCAACTTATCTTGCGAACTTTCATCTGACTTGTTTTTTTTTAAATGTTGTCTTGAATATTTTATATGTTGTCATGCCAACAAGGTCTCCACCTCGGTCTTCAAGGAATGATTTTGGTTCAGTGTTCAAAAATCTAAAAAGCAGCTGTCAGTGACGATTTCGGCTGTCAAATCTGACGTCAAATGCTAATTTTTCTCTGAACTGGCAATCCAGCTTTCCATGCTCGGTAATGGCGGCCTTCTTTTCTTCTTTCCTTTATTTAACGTCGGTCTCTGTTCCGCAATCTAGTGCCAATCACGACGGACATCGATTGCCATCCATTGACGACAATCGAATGTGCAGGAAGGCAGCTTCCACACCTGCGTAGGATATCGCACCCATTCAACACACATGGGCCGGGACCAACGGCTTTACTTCCCTTCCGAAGGAAGACGTGACCAGAGATTTTTATGCCTCAGAAAAATCCCACCGACCTCGACTGGGATTGAACCCAGACCCATTGGGGTGTTAGAAAGCAGTCAAGCTTACCACTACACCACCGGCGCCGGCGTAATGGCGGCCTGTTCGTATGAATAAATGTATCCTTCACTGTGCTTTTTAAAACTATCGGGATGTTCGGATTTTGACCCCTCCCTTTCCCTCTCCCAGGAACAGATGAAATGGAACAACATACGCCCTCCAGTTAGTGTCAAAAAGTTTGATGGAATGCTGACTATCATATTGAGTGTTTTGTTTATGTTCATTTTCGGAAACATCGAAGTAGACCGCGCTTGAAGACTGACGTATGAATTTTTTCTGCGTGTTTTTCATTCGCTGATTTATTAGTTTTTAATTTAATGTAATGCTAGTAAAATTTCGTGAAGCTTCTAAATCAATGTTGAAAAGTGCATAATAGATACGCGTGTGAATTGTGTGCAAGATGAGAGGGATTCAAAGCTCTTGCCGGGTAGCATGTGCAGCTGGCTTATGGGGCACGAAGCGGAGGGTTGCCAATATGGATGTTTCGTTGAGTCCCGCTAAGTTTCCCGAAATGTGCAGCCACTGGGGATCGTCGAGAACCTGGAGTATGGGGATTTGAAAGGTTCCTCCATGTAACATGACGGAAGATAAGTTTAGTTTTGTTTATAGTCATGAGTGCATTTGTGCGTATGTGCGTGTGTGTAACTATTATTAATCGCTACAATCAGCATTAGTTTGCCAAAACGATCCCTGTAGCAAACCTTTCCCCACATCCAACACCCCAGTGATCTCTCGTGGAAGCGCAGAGGACTTCTCGGTTTCCTTCACAGCGAGTATCACGTCAACACATTCCTTCCCATTCCCTATTTAACCTGCATTCGGACACGGCCGGCGCTGGTATTGCTAAATATTAGATCTCCAGTTTTTACACATTGAGGATGAATGTTAGTCCCAGCCAACAGTCTGTGTAAATGCAGCTGATCTGGCAATAACACAGCAGCAACCGTGGGCGGTCAATCATGCTCATGCTCATGCTCATTCTCATGAGTGTTTTGTTCATTTTAAGACATTTTTGAAATTTCAAATCGATATGGGTTGAAATTGATCAACCCCTTAAATGACTTTCAAGTAAATTTCTAGAACCTGTTCTTATTAAATTTGGGTTCCCCGATTCCGAAAACTATGATAAAATCCGAAGTGTGTTTTCAGCAGAAATTAGAAAGAAGATTTCTCAAGACGCTTAGTTGCGCCTAAAATGTAGGCAATTTATATAAATATCAATGAAAATTTCGCAGAAAATTATTGATTTCTCAATATTGAAAACTTTTTCCGAATTTTTTAAATAGTTCATATTCATTGACACTTAGTTTAATGAAAAATACTACTTTCAAGCTAATGACAACAATCTTTGCAACCCTATGACCGTTTGACGCTGATATACGACGCTGAAATAAACGCTGATATTTAATGCTTTTGAACTTCAGTTGAAATTTATGCAGTAAAATCTACATTTATGTTATGAGAATCTCGTCAAAGCAATCATTTGAGTCTCATGATTCAATACTTTCAAGGTTTCTCTTGAT